CTTCAGACAGCCATACGCCAGCCCAGTATGGGCTCGCTGGAACAGCTGACACGACATAAATCCCCAATCGCTCGCATACTATAAACGTTAATGGTTCGTACTTTTGTTTAAAACAACAGCTCTGACACCACGCATCGCACAGTATTTTTTGTGTAGGAATAACAAATTAACGGACTCAAACACACAGCAACAGGTCTGAGTATGATAAAAGTAAATTCAATTAACTTTTGTGATTATTTACGGTCAACGGATAGTCTGGCAAATTTGTCAAAACACACCGATCGGGAAGTCAACAAAGACGATTAAGGTCGATGTAGAAAACCGGTAAAAAAAGTCGGGCCCCTGGGGCAACAGTCAGACAATTAGCTAGAACTACGCACAGAATCATGGAACTCAGAGATATTACTGCTTAAGGCAAGAGCCTCAATATGATCTACCTTATCTGAACGTTCGAGCACAGTTAGGCGAGATCAATTTACTCTCCACTCACGACACGACATGAAGAACGAAGCCAGCGACTAGCAGTGTATCCTACACGGTGAAAAATGGCCGGTTTTACATCATACGCCGACAAATAACGCGGTTGGACGTTAAGCGTTAGGTAACAATGTCCGAAACCGAACATTTTTGGCGTAAAACCCTACTACGACTACTCTATATTTTCAGCAGTGGTGATCTAGATGATTGGTCACTTGCATAACTTTACCGAATGACTTTTGCTGAAAAAAACTACTTCCTGTATTGCGACAGAAAGATTTATATTAGTATTTCCCTCTACCGTACACTAAATTTTGGAAGCCCCTAAAAAAAAGAACAACGTAAACATCAGATCTGCAGGTTAGTGCAAATTACTTGCTATGACCGAATTTCAGCGCTTGTGCACAGAAGGAACCCGCCTACTATAGTTTCCGCTATTTTGCTCCGAATTAGGAACAGGTATTGATTGTTAATTTTAAAGCACGTCTGTAAGCTTGGCGCTCACGGACGTATGCAAACACTACAAGAATGGTTGCAGCAGTCAGACTGGATGTTGTAAAAGATAGCTGCTTAAACAAAGCCATGCAAAAGTACGCCAAAGATAAGGGGTTCTTATGCAATAGTGAGGTTCTGCCAGTTCTATTTTCAGTCGGCCCATATAAAAGGATGATGTACGAAGGTGTCAAACTTAAGTCTCGCCCTTCAAAGTGTAAGGTACACCTCCTGTATGGTAGGTAACACGCTTGATCAGTAACTAATCCATAATATGAATCTTTAAGTAGTCTCGCAAACTAATTCCTGCTGCAAGCTGCGAAAGAACACAGCCGAAACCACAAAAGTGAGATGTGGAAGCATTCAGTTTAGACATGACTGTTAAGTTAGCAAGTACGTTCCTAGGGGTGAAAATGATGTTTCAGTTTTTTATTCCCTTCTTAGCAATTTGAAAAAAATATGGTTCGTGAAGTAACAAGAAAGTAATAAATGCAAGAGAACAACTACCCTAGTAGCAAAGTGGACAAAAACCTGTATAAATCCGGCATATGTATCCAGATTTTTCCAGTAGGAAGCCATGATGGAATCCGTTTAGATGAGCTACTAGGGGGGGGACGTGGATCAAAGAGACTCCGAACAGCTGGACTTAAATATGATTACAATTGTCGGTCCTTCGTCTGGTAGGACAATCATAATTTCATCGTCGCTCTTGAATTCACCAATGGCCCTTACCGT